AAGAATGCCCCTTTTATAGAGGAATTTTTGTAGCCTACCCTTAAAATCTCAGGCATCAAAGGCAAAGAAAACTGCCCATCTCATTTGTCTTGAGTTGTGAAGTTTTTCTGAGATAGCTGGAAGCATAGTATTAACGGCTGAGAAAGTTTTGATAGATTAATCTGTATATTTCTATTAAGTGGATTAACTGCCCAAGGTGGCAGTATGAGAAAGAATAGCAAAGAGGAAAGATTCTAATGTCTACATGATCTCATCTAATACTTAAAACATTTATATGGGATAGGCTATATTAATTAGTCAACATTTTAAAACAAACAGAATTGGATAACGTTTATGCGTGGAACAAATTGGTATGTGAATCCACAGATTTAACTATATATTTTTAAACTACAGCAAGTAGTTTTCTGTAGTTAAAGGGCATTAAAAAAGTGAACATTGTCCCCGAACTTTTTGAAGCCTCTGTATTTCCACTCAAATTCTAAAATCCAAATTTTGATGGACTGTAAGCATAAAATATACGTGGGATTTTAAGGGCATGAGATAGAAATTTTGCACACTAATTGTGACTAGGTACACTTTTAATTAATAATATTCTTTTATGTATTAGCCTAATAAATATATTAAAATTAATTTAATCTGTTTTTTCCCTGTTAAAAAAAAGTGTGGTTACTGTCCTAGTGGGGGGAAGGCTCCAAATTCAAGTGTATTTAGCAGAGTTCCTCTTATAAAATATATTTAAGTCTTATCAGGACAGCCCAGTCCCTGAAGAAGGCATCTGCTTGGTAAGCCCTCTGTGAGATGGACTGATACAGTGGCTACAAGCACCGCCTCAAATGTAAGAACAGTGTGAGGACGGGGCACGACTAGGCTGTCTTGTGTTCTGTTGTTCATAGGGTTCCTGAGTCAGCATGACAACCCCTATCAATAACCAGGCCAAGACAAGATAAAGACAATGAATCAGAACGACGAGGACTGTTATGAGACTATAATGATGCCCAAATGGTCCATAACCATATGGCTAATTCTAGAACCTGGAAAATACAAGAAATTGATCACAAAATCATAATTGGAAATCAGTAAACTCATCACCGTCAAAGGCAGAATATAGAAACAAGAAAGGGACCATGTTTAGGATAAGTACACTTTTGGAGATCGGTAACATTTCCAGGACTGGTATTCGCCACCCCCACCCCCACCACCTCTGCCTTGGCCTGCATGTAAGACTCAGGACCATGTGACCTTGGTACTCCAATATCCAATAAGGGCACACTCAGGCAAGTCCCTGAGGACCACACTGCCTGGGCAGGCTAAGAGAGTAGCAATTCTCTTTCAAACGCATTCTGCCTGAGGGCCAAGCTTTTTATATTGCAGCAATAATCCGAATCAACTCTCTGGAGACTGAAAGGATTATGTCAAGACTCAAAATAGACTTAGGGCTCCTACTGTTAACCACTGGTGTCAGGTGGTCTTGAGTTTGTCCTGACGTATAGAAACCCTGTGTATAGCAGGACAAAACACTGGGCCAACCTCACACTTTGTGAGCCCATTATTGCAGCCACTGTGTCAGTCCATCTCATGGAGGGCCTTCCTCCTTGTTGCTGCATCTCTGCTTTCCCAAGCATGATGGCCTTCTCCAGGAACTGGTCTCTCCTGGCAACCTGTCCAAAGTATGTAAGACAGAGTCTCACCATTCTTGCCTTGAAGGGCATTCTGGCTGGTCTTCTCCCAAGACAGATCTGTGTGTTCTTTTGACAGTCTATGGTAACTTCACTGTAAATTGTAGCCTGGCTCAAACCAAGAACTTGGAATGCAAGTTCACCACATTACTGCCCCACCCCCCGCCCCCTGCCAAAGCAAATCACAGATTTATCTATTTATTTTAAATATCTTGAAGATTTGTACATGCAATCACCTCCACAATCAATTTCAGAACATTTTCTTCTTATACTCATTGTTGTTAGTCTCTATCAGGTTTGCAAGGGCAAATGGGATTATAACCACAGCCATAAAACTCAAACCACACCCACTGGGGGTGACGGTGTAATGATAGTGAGCCTATCAGACAATTAAAGGTGCTCCAGAGACCTTGCAAGGTTTTAATCCTGATTGAAGTAGACATCACATCTTGCTCCCGCATAGCGGCTGGTGGCAGTGATCTTAGAGCTTAAATTCTGGCTACTAGGCTCACAGAAGACTGGGGATGGCTGACAGTGAGAGCCCTAAATCCATTTTTTTTTTGAGTCTCCATATAGATTCAGCCTCCATTGAATTCTTTCAGGACATTGTGAATAGCTTTGCCCTCAGGCAGAGTGTCTTTGAAAGTGGCTTTCTACAATTCCCTTAGCCAGTCCTCCGAGCCTCCTCCTCAGGAACTTGCCTGGCTGTGCCCTTGTCAGAATTTGGGGTGCTTGGGTCCACATGGTACGATTCATACCTGGACTCTCTTCGTTCCTGAGTCAATCTTGAAAACTTTTTAAAAAATCGATTTTAGTGTGTGGATTCCAGTGATTCCATCTTTTCCTGCTTCTGCGGTTCTGCCTGCAACTGATGTATCGATTTGTCACGAATTATGCTTTTGTGACACTTTCCTTTCTTTGTACTCCATGTCCTAATTGAGTGACCTCGTTGCTGTCAATCCCTGAATACTATTATGGCCGCATGCCAGTCTCCGACATAAGTGGTTTTTTATTTTCTTGTTTTAAGACTTAATGAAAGTGTCTCTATAAATTGCATTTGAACCTGGGGCCTTTTTTCCCTCCCCAATAAGCAGCTGAGTTCTTAACCCCTGTGCCCTGAGGGCTTCTTAAATTAACCAAAGGCACAGAGGTTAGGAATTAGAATACATGATCTCTTACTATTACAGGAACCTTAATGGTGCAGTGGGTTGTCCTATAGACTACCAACCACACGGTCAGTAGTTTGAAAGCATGAGCTTGTTTTTATTTGAAAATCTGACCAATAGGTAAACAAGGGCGTTTTCAGGAGCCTTATTTCAATCAGATGGGAAAACTTCCTTACTTGCAGAAAGAACGTGAAGAATTCATAAAACACTTTTCTGGGACCACGGGGTTCAGACAAAATTCAACATTGTCAATTTAAAGGAATTCAGTAAGCAGAAAGGAGAGGGTAAAATGCTGTAATCTCAGCAGTACAGACCACTGGCATGGAATGTCCTTATTTGGTTAACACAGAGATTTGCAAGCCTCATGAAAAGCCATCCCTCCATAAATCAGTCTGTCAGCACCCAGCACTTTTCACTGCTCACTAGCAATTTCTTGTCAAAGCACGAGTCACTTGTTTCCCTACAAATGTCCCTGAGCCAGGCTTTTCCCTACAAATGCCTGAGACAGGCTGTTGTATGTGGTAAACGGACTGGATGAAAATATAATGCAGCTAAAGTCTCTATGCTCATAATTATGGGTCTGGAAAGCCAACTCCAGTGGGGGAGAAGACCTTCATAGTTATGAGATATAAATAATTCTTAATACGTACATTCTCATGTGTGAACATGTTATTCCCTCCAATAACCCCTGGTAAGGATCTGTCATAAAGGAACTACCATATGACATCTCAGACCTGTGTCTGCCAGTTCCCAGTGCCTGGAGATTATCTGTGGATAAGAGCAACCCGGTTCTTTCTACAGCTAACCCATAAGATGTAGCAAACTCTTCTGACTTCTCTGGCTGATACTGATACTGGGAAGGGCTCAGGGTGTTTGACGTCAACTAGCAATAGTGATATCTGATCACTATCATTCCCAGGGTTCCATAACATGTCTCTTGCTTAGATTTGGCCTTCATCCGAGTCATTTTCTGAATTTTACTAAGGGCTCATGGAATCTGAGTTTCCACGATTGTAACCCCATTGTTTCCCTGAGAAGCGGCAGCTGGTGGTTTCGAACTTGGAACTTGAGAATCGCAGCCCAACATGTAACCACTATGTCACCAGGACTCCTAAGGGATCGAGTAGGGGGAATATTAACTTGCCAATAATCCCATTTTTAAAAGTTCCACATCAGTCTACTTCGTGTTACGTCCTTTTTCAGTAGATGTGGGTGGCTCTAAAAAGAGCCTTTGGTTTTACTCGAATTGCTGTTAGCTATTCAGGCATTTACTTGCCCTTGGCCTTGTGGTGGCTCTCGGTCTTCTTGGGCAGCAGCACGGCCTGGATGTTGGGCAGGACGCCGCCCTGCGCGATGGTGACCTTGCCCAGCAGCTTGTTGAGCTCCTCGTCGTTGCGGATGGCCAGCTGCAGGTGGCGCGGGATGATGCGCGTTTTCTTGTTGTCGCGGGCCGCGTTGCCCGCCAGCTCCAGGATCTCGGCCGTCAGGTACTCCAGCACGGCCGCCAGGTACACTGGCGCGCCGGCCCCGACCCGCTCCGAGTAGTTGCCCTTGCTGATCAGGCGGTGCACGCGGCCCACCGGGAACTGGAGCCCGGCGCGGGACGACCGCGTCTTGGCCTTGGCGCGAGCCTTACCGCCCTGCTTTCCGCGTCCAGACATGTCCGATGCTCCAGCTACAAGTAACAACTGCTCAACAGTAGTAGTTTTTATAATCATTTTCAGGCGCGTAAAAAGAAGTCGTGTCATTGGTTAAGTTTGTAGCCATCGCTTAACCAATGGAAATGCAGCATTGTATATATTTTGTTCTGATTGGGCAAAAATCAAGTTCTGGCGTCATTATGACGAGTCACCAATCAGATACTAGGTTCTTAATTCTTCCTTATTTGCATGAAATTTTCTATATAAAGAAAAGACGTTTCCAGCTTCACATCTGATTTCAGAGACTTGTTCTGCTTTTACTCAACATGCCTGAACCTTCCAAATCCGCGCCCGCCCCGAAGAAGGGCTCCAAGAAAGCGGTGACCAAGGCGCAGAAGAAGGACGGCAAGAAGCGCAAGCGCAGCCGCAAGGAGAGCTATTCCATCTACGTGTACAAGGTGCTGAAGCAGGTCCACCCCGACACGGGCATCTCGTCCAAGGCCATGGGCATCATGAACTCGTTCGTCAACGACATCTTCGAGCGCATCGCCGGCGAGGCGTCCCGCCTGGCGCATTACAACAAGCGCTCGACCATCACGTCGCGGGAGATCCAGACGGCAGTGCGCCTGCTGCTGCCCGGGGAGCTGGCCAAGCACGCCGTGTCCGAGGGCACCAAGGCCGTCACCAAGTACACCAGCGCCAAGTAAGCAAGCAGCAAATTGGCAGTAAAGGCACAATAAAACGGCTCTTTTAAGAGCCACCCATACCTTCACAGAAAAAGCTGGTGCTTGTTTTTGTCCTTGGTAACGCTTATACCTTACTGGACCCTTCGTTATTAATAGAAAACCTTTACGAGGCAAAGTTACTTGTTCCCAGCTTTGCATCGTGTAACTGGTTGCTGCAAAAATATAAAGTAGGTCTAATGTTTAATGTTTCTACAACCTGGAGGAAATAATGGCCCTGTGCTTTCATCAGGGATCTCCCCACACTTTAAAAATAGCCTGTCGCTTAAGTACCGAATTGAAAATGGGCAAGATACGACAAAATGTAACTTATCAAGGGCTCATGAGGGAGGGGAAAAACGAGGACCTAATGCCGGGGGCTTAAGTGGAGAGGAAATGTTTTGGGAATGGGCAATGAATGTACAAATGTGCTTTACACAATTGATGTATGTATGGATTGTGATAAGAGTTGTATGAGCCCCTAATAAAACGATTTTTTAAAAATGAATTGGAAGTTACAAGCAAATCCAAACTTAAATCTAATTGAACCCGCGCCCGGACCTGGAGCCTGCGCGGGCAGTTTGAATTTGTCTGGAGGGCGTTGATTGGCTGGCAGCGTTCAGGCTCTGTGCCGACCGCAAGCCGCTCCGCGCGTGCTGAATCAGACCTAGATCTACAGCACTTGAAACTTGAAAGAATAATTCCTTTTAATCTGTTTTTATTTTCTCCATAGGATTCCCGACTTTTCCGGAATGAGGTTTACTATTTCCCTAGAATTTATGTTTCCTGGGGAAATGTAATTTCCAGGTTGGGAAAGCTTAGCGCTGGGGGATGTAGTGGTTAGAAGTTGAGCTGCGATCCAGCAGGAGCTCGGCAAGACAAAGACTGGGTTTTCTACTCCAGTAAACAGTTACAGGTTCGGAAACCTACAGGAGATCACTGTGAGCCCTCATTGACGCGATGGCAGTGAGTTTGATTTTTGGAGTGGGGTGGAGTGCTTCTATTTAGGAAACTTGCCTTTACCACATATTCAAGTTAACAACACCTCACAAGAAGAAGTAAGTGTAATGAAGGCCGTGGTCAGGGTACTTATTGTCTCTTCTCCAACTAAAATCAATCTATTTTAAAGTTTTTCCTTTGACATTCTAAATACTGCTTCTGACTGCCTGGAACCATTGAGGGGAAAAGTTCCAATTCATCAGGTAAATGAGAACCAATTATTCACCAAATTGTATTGTTTCTCATAATCTATTCAAAATCAGTGACGTTAGGCCCCTTTTAGGTAAAAAGCCAGCGTCTATAAAGCTGATCTCCTACTATGGATGGATTGGGGTTTAGGTAATTTAAATAAATTAGTACCTAATGTATTTAAAACTTCCCAATCTAAAATGGATCCACATGTCTGAAACAATTTGTTTGTTAAATCTTTTTTTTTTTTAATTCAATTCCCACACCTCTTTTCAAGGCCTACTGAAATCTAACCAGTTCTCTGAAATGTCTGCCTTTTCTGAAGCTACTGTGTTTAACATCTAAACATTGGGAAATGGCTTTCACATAGTTTTCTGGTTTGTTGTATGTACGGTGTATGTTGTTATGAAATGTACATTCACTATGGCATGAAAAAGGGGCAAAAAACCAAGCCGTTCTTTTCTACACTAATGATAACTGGGTCTTGTGGATAAACACAGAATAGAAGATTTGTATGCCATGATTTGTGGCTCAGGGGAGAAAAGAGACCCCAACTTAATGTATAATTTATAAAGACCCTACGTCTGAAACAGGACAAAAAATCGGGATGAGAGTGATTCTCCGCACAAGGCCAGAAAGCTTTTGCAACGTGGTCGTTTAAATAGGATCTGCAGAGGAAACAACACCATGATTAGGGGCAGCTGAACTCCTTCCCGTTTCAGATGGGAAGACAGAAACTGGAAAGGGACCTGGATTGGAATACGTACACTCTTTCAGATGGAAAAGTTTATAAAATTGGTTTATGTCCCTCGGATCATGGCTGGGCTGACCTAGTACCCCAAATCCCATCACGGGCACACCCTAGAAAGTCCTTCAGGTCTAGACTGCCCCTCTGCATAGGGTGGTGCTGCCTCAAGGGAGAGGGTTTCCCTTTAAAGGCCAGAAAGAATTTAAGGCAGTCTCAGTCTACGTCAAACTCAAAAAGCTAAGACCAGCAAGTTGATTCCAGCTCATAGTGACCCTTTAGGACAGTGTGGAACTGCCCCTGTGGGCTTCCAAACCTAGAAATCTTCACAGGAGTAGTTTTATCTACCACAACAACACCAGGGCTCCTTGAAAGGATGTGGAAACCCCAAAATGGATTTACTGTCAACCATAGCATTCCTCCGATGTGGCACTCAGAAGGAAGCGCTAACACACTTGGTATGCTACACGAGGCCCTGATATTTCATTGATCTAAATAATCAGATACTTTCCAAGCTAAATGCTCTTGTCGTTTCTTTTTCCCATTGTAGCAGGATTAGAGGACGGTCAGCTGATTCAGGACAAACGTGAGGGACATTTCATTGCCAAAGGAATTAAGTTGCAATTATTTGGATCCAGGGGTTGAGGGAAGGAGACCGAGGGTTCTTAGAAGTGGGAAAGGACTGAATACTGAGCCATAGTGGAAAACATTGTCTCCAGACCCCTTGATAAGCAGCCCTAGTCCCAGATTGCTGGCGAGTGAGCGATTGCCCTCCTCTGTGTTGGTGGTGAAAGGAACCCTGTTGGCGTTGGGCTGCAAGGTTGGCAGTTCAAAATGCCAGACACTCTTCTGGAGCAAGACTCTGGAAAAGGACATGCTGCTTGGTAAAGTGGAGGGGCAGCGAAAGAGAGGCAGCCCCTCGACAGAATGGACTGACAGTGGCTGCAACAATTGGCTCAAACGTAAGAAAAACGGAAGACGGGCGCAGGCCCGGGGGCAGTGTTTTCCTCTGTTGTACACAGGGTTGCTATGAGTTAGAAGCTACCGGATGGCAGCTAGCCATAATAACAATTGACCTGTCCAGGTTATAATTTCAATACATAAGTTTCTACATGAAATTCAGGGATTAGTACTGTCAGTAGTCAAAGGAGCTCAGAACATTGCATTCTTACAAATCACTCTTTTTCTTTTTTCTGGCTCGAACAACTCATCACAATCCATACATACATCCACTGTGTCAAGCACATTTGGACATTTGTTGCCATCATCATTCTCAAAACATTTTTCTACTTGAGTTCCTGGCATCAGCTCCTCATTTTTATCCCCTCCCTCCCCCACCCTCCCTCCTTCACGAACCCTTGATAATTTATAAATTATTATTATTTTGTCATGTCTTACACTGTCCAATGTCTCCCTTCACCCACTTTTCCATTGTCTGTCCCCCAGGGAGGAGGTTATATGTACATCATTGCAATCAGTTCCCCCTTTCGACCCACCTTCCTCTTACCCTACTGGTATCGCTACTCTCATTATTGGTCCTGAGGGGGTCTGTCTGTCCTGGATTCCCTATGTTTCCACCTCTGAGTTGTACCTGTGTACACCCTCTGGTCTAGCCAGATTTGTAAAGTAGAATTGGAATCATAATAGTGGGTGGGTGGGGCGTGGGAGGAAGAAGCATTAAAGAACTAGAGGAAATTTGCATGTTTCACCCTGACTGGCTCGTCTCCTCCCCGAGACACTTCTGTAAAGGGATGTCCAGTTGCCTACAGATGGGCTTTGGGTCTCCACTCTGCACTCCCCCTCTTTCACAATGATATGATTTGTTGTTCTTTGATGCCTGATAACTGATCCCATCGACACTTTGTAATCACACAGGCTGGTGTGCTTCTTCCATGTGGGCTTTGTTGCTTCTCAGCTAGATGGCTACTTGTTTATCTTCAAGCCTTTAAGTCCCCAGACACTATACGTTTTCAAAGCTTGGCACCATCAGCTTTCTTCACCACATTTGTTTATGCACCCATTTTGTCTTCAGCGATCATGTCGGGAAGGTGAGCATCATGGAATGCCAGTTTAATACAACAGAGTGTTCTTGCATTAAGGGAATACTTGTGTAGAGATCCAATGTCCATCTGCTACCTTAATAATGCTATCTTAATACTAAACCTATAAATATATGCACATAGATCTATTTCCCCATTGTCATATATAAATATATTTACATATGTACATGCCCATATTTAGACCTCTATAAATGTCCTTTGCCTCCTAGTTCTTTCCTCTATTTCCTTTTACTTTCCTCTTGTCCCAGTATCATGCTCAGCCTTCATTTGGGCGTCAGTAATTCCCCTTGGTTATATTGTCCTTGATCAAGCCCTACCAGGCCTCCTACACCCTCCTCGCCATCGATTTTGGATCGCATGTTGTTCCCTTCCCCACGCCTCTCCCTCTCCCATTTCCACCCAGAAAAGTTGGTCCATTGTTTTCTCCTCCAGATTGTTTATCCTGCCTATCTTATCTAGATAGACCTGCAGAGATGATAATATGCACACAAAAAACAAGACAGAACAAAACAAAGCAACAAAACAACAACAAAAACCAATGGCACACGCACACAAAAGCCTGTAAATAGCTCCAGGTCTATTTGTTGACCTTTAGGAGTGTTTTCTTGTCGAGTCTGCTGGGGTGCCATGCCCTGGCCCCACAGTCTATTTTTAGTATTCCCTGGGGACTTCGTTGCTGTTCAGTTGCACACCCTTAGTGTTTTGCCTCAGTGTGGTTGGGTCAGATCGGGCTCAATTCCCGCCCTGTGTCTCCAGTGGTGTCCTCCATAATGCCATGGGTCAGTGTGAGGGATGTCATGTCTCATAGGGGGGCCGGCCATATGGTCCTCTCTGTGCATTGGCTGCTCTGAGCGGGGATATCATCCTCAAGGCTTGGTGGGTCAGGATGTGCTCCACTCTCTCTTCCTCCCCCTTCATTTGCTCCCGTGTGCTCTGTTCAGACATGTCCCTCTCCCCGAGCTGCAGCTTCAGTGCTGTCCTCTGAAGTGAATTCTTCTGCAGGGAGGGGGGGCTGTCCACGTAGTTGGGATTGGGGCCGGCCTTTCAGATCTCTCTATTGGTTCCCTGCCAATCACTCTTTTTCATTTAACATAAAGAACAATCTATCATCCTATTTTCCAATGTAAGTTTGACAAAGATATTAATTTATCTTCCAAAACTCAAAACCAAACTCAATACCATTGAGTCAGTTCTGACTCAGTTTTCTTTCTTTTTTTTCTCATTTTTACTTCTAAATTATATTTTCTATATAAATTGTGTTATTTGTATCTATATAATATTTCTATCTAAATATAGAAAATGCATTTCTAGTTATATTATGGATTTTTAATTCAGAATGAATACAATTTCTCCATTTTTTTTATC